GCAATATATGAGATGTTTCAGATGCTCCCTTTAGGTTCCAGCCTAGCTGACCATTGTGGTGACCAGCAAAGGGATACATCCTCAAAACAGTTTCCCTGACACAGCCCTTCATCCCACGCTTACCCTTGGTGTTATTTTCAAAATTAAACTAAATGCATGCAGGCCTTTGCCTCCAACTGCATTTTGGGGAAGAGCTTAGGGGACCCAGGTTAGTTAACTGGTTGAACTGATTGACTTTCTTTAGGTTGAGTCAATGTTGCTGCAGAATGTACTACAATTCAAATGGAACTGTTTCTTGATTCATCCGTTAGAGAAAGAATGTGGCGGTTGTGGGAAGTGCCCTGAAATGGGGAATGTGGGTTCATATTTTACCAATAATTACTTTTGTGACCCAAGCTATACCATTCAACCATCAGTGCGTGATCTGCCAAACAGAGGAGATGAAGCGGATGGAGTCATCTCCAACACGCCTTCTGGTTCCCTAATTGTACGCTGGTGAAATATAAGCACCTGTGTAACTATGTATACAGTAGCTGTTTCTCCCTCACTTACCCGAGGGATTGTTTGGATGGAAAATATGGCCATACTTTAACACAACTTTAGACCGGCATGCGGATCAGTCCCCTGGAGGTCTAGATTAGAGAATGAGCTATTCAGGACCTCCAGCCAATGATGCTGACCGAAGGAGGCAAGGCGCTTCTGTGGGAGTCAGCAAACATTACCGGGGGCTGCAGCGTGGAGATAAGAGCAGAGTAATGAGCAAGCGACTGCATCCCAGCGCTCACTTAGTGATTCGTCACATCCCCAACGGAGCTTGATAAATGGACAGCAAGAGCTGAGGGAGCCTTTTGCTCCCCTTTTGTCCCTTTAGGAGTTACTTGGAAACTTGGTTTAGAAAATGCTTCTATTTGGAGAAAAATAACTCAACATCTTGCAAGTGCCAGGAAGTTAAAAAAAAAAAAAGCATTGTAACATGGATTTTTCATAAATCCCAAATCTGGGAGCATCATTCTAGAAAAAGATGGGAGGCCATGAAGGCAGCCTGAGGGCCACAGAGCATGTGGAATAGGTGGATCGTAAGGCAATGATGTTGTCATGGTCACCACTCATAAGATGTTTTAATATATGTAAAGTACGCTGTTGCCATTCTACACACGAAGGAAGGCATCCCAGAGGAAAGCAATGTGTTTGACGACACACAGCTAGTTAGCAACAGAGCCTGGGGCTTTTAAAAACAGACATTTTTTTATTTAATTAAGATTTGTATTTTTGGGGCTGGGGAGATAGTAAAGTACTTCTCACACAAGCACAGGGACCTGAGTTCAGGCCCCAGCCCCCATGTCAAAAGCTAGGTGTGGTGGGTCACACTTGTAATCCTGAAGCTAAGGAGAGAGGGGGTCCTGGGGCTCGCTAGCCAGCCAGTCTAGCTTACTTGGTAAGTTCAAGGCCAATAAGAGACCCTGTCTCAAAAAAAACCCAAAAACAAACAAACAAACAAAAAAATAAAAACCAAGGTGGCTGGCATCTGACATTGACCTCTGGCCTCCATGTACATGCATATACATGTATAAACCTGTACACACACACACACACACACACACACACACACACACACACACACGTCTTTAAATTTTTTTTTTTTACATTTATTGTGTATGTGTGTGTGCATGCGTTTGCCATGGTACATGTGTGGAGGTTGGAGGACAATCTGAAGAAGCTGTTTTCCCTTTTGGCATGTGGATTCTGGAGGTCAAACCCAGGTAGTCAGTTAGAGCAGCAAGTATCTTTACCTGCTGAGCCATCTCACTGATCTATATGTAAACTTCTGTTTGTCAAGTGGAAAACAGGCATATGGTTAACAAATCTAAGCGTTCGAAAAGACGTGTGAAACAAGTGCATCTTGTTGCCTTTAGTCTTTTGACTGAACTTCCCAATGCTTTTATTCATTTTTTTCCTCTTAATCGTCACATTTTCATTTTCAAGAGTTTATTTCTTCATGCTCCCTCCTATTATTTCTTAAAGCAACCTATTATTGTTTAATGGATACAGGCTCTGACTTCCTCAAGAGTATTAACAACTGGGTTTTCTCTGTGGTACTTTTTTTTTTTCTTTTCCGTTTTGGTCTCTGTTTTTCATTAGAGGTACATAAAAATCTCTCTGATCTTTGTGTTTATGTGTCACAGTCAGGAATTAAAAGGCTAATTATAGAGAGAGAGCGAGACAGAGAGAGAGAGACAGAGAGAGAGACAGAGAGAGAGACAGAGAGAGAGACAGAGAGAGGAAGAGAGAGAGGGAAAGAGAGAGGATAACTCACTAAATAAAAGAAAGTCTAGTTAAATTTGAATTTTGGATTAAAAAAATTCCACCTAAGTATATTTCCAAAATTTAATGGGATAAACACACACACACACACACACACACACACACACACACACACACACCCCAGTTGTTTATTATGACCCAGTTGTTTATTATGACTTTGAAGCTGACAGCTTTGGGCATGTGGTTTACAGACCCCCAACTTCAGAGCGACTGGCATTCTGGGCTTTCATTTGAGAAAATCCAGAGTCTTGGTCTACCCCATTGAACCCTCGGTGTGAGACCTGCTTCTTCTCCCCAGTGCAGAAGCCCGGTTTTCATTTCTCAGGCTTTTCCCAGAGACACAGAAGCTGGCCCCCAGTGGTGCAGGGCTTCTTAGTGCTCTGTAAACTGACTGGCGGGCAATCTGCTTGTCTTAAGATTTGAGCGCCACGTCCACCTTTCACAGCGCTTTGGGCAGCTCTGGGGAAGGGCTGCAGAGCCGGCTGCTCCTCAGCGCTCTCCTCCTCTGAGAGTCCTGCCTTTGACTGCTACCCGGCTGGGTCATCTGCCACCTCATTCAGCCTTTCATTCTTCACAGATGCGAGACTGCTCTTGTCAGTTTAAAGACATTAGGTATCATTAGCGTTCCAGGGAAGAGAGACACAGAGGGAGAAGTTTCCAGCCACAAGGCTTAACGGGGATGATAGAAGGAAATTGAAATCCAGGCCAAGCATACTCTCAGCCTTTACTCCTTCCACGGTCCCATGTAATAATCCATACAGCAAAATTCAGTTAATAAATACCCGTGACATGGACTGCCCATTGTCGACACCAATATCCTTTCTTTCCTTCTCCACTGTTAATAGAACTCCAAGGCTAGCCAGAGTAAAGTCTTCCTTCCCCAACATTCCTTGATATTAGAAATAGCCACGAAACCAAATTTTGACTAGTGAAATGTAAGTGGAAGTATTAAGTGACGACTTCCAGAACACCTTGGAAGACGGCCCGAGTTTCCTCTTGCCTCCTTCTTTACCCCATCTTCTTATTGGCTTGAAGGTGCACAGCCGTGCTGGAACTTGAGCAATCGTCTCTGACTAAGAGGTGGAAACTGACATCATAGGACGACAGAAGAAACCTGGGTCCACGAGGACTTCATTAGCTACCACACCACCAGCAGACTGTGGGTCTCTGCACTTCCTTTATGCAATAGAGAAATTGCTGCTTTGGGTTTTCTATTTCCTACCATTGAAACTAATTATAATGCAGTGTCAACGTACTTGACTGGAAAGGGCAAGTGGTGGAAGAGACGAAACTAGAGGATGGGTCAGTTCAGACAGAGGGTGAGGCACGGACAGGTGGGGATAGGATCCTATGTAGGAATGATGATAGGACTGCAGTATCAGGGACATGGCATTGTTTCAAAGGATAGTATGTAGTCAGGTATGGCCAAAGCAGACAGATACTATAAGGGAGAAATGAAAAATAATAATGCAAGGAAAACGGTGGGCCAGAGAAACGGCTCCATGGTTAAGAGCACACTGTTCATGCAAAAGACCTGAGTTAGGTTTCCAGCATCCATATCTGGTGGCTCACAGCTGCCTATAACTCCAGATCCAGAGAATCTGACATCCTCTCCTGGTCTCCATGGGCACAACACTCACGTCCACAAGACCCCCCTATATATACATGCAATTAAAAAAATAAAATCTCGCCGGGCAGCGGTGGCACGCGCCTTTAATCCCTGTACTCGGGAGACAGAGCCAGGCGGATCTCTGTGAGTTCAAGATCAGCCTGGCCTACAAAGTGAGATCCAGGAGAGGCACCAAAACTACACAGAGAAACCCTTTCTCGAAAAACAAAGAAACAAACAAATAACATCTTTAAAACAAAGAATGAAAAATATAGAGGGGGCAATAAGGAAGGATTTTGTCAGTCAAACTAGGTTTAAGGTTTTCTTGAAGTCTGAGTGAACGGAAGTTGGGGGCAAGGGTCTATAATGCAGGGAGTTAGAACGAAGCATTTCAGATCTTCCTACCTGGAGGTAACCTACGTCAAGGTAATACAGACAGGAGATGAGGAAGACAGTCTCAGTAGAGAGAACAGAGCATGGGTTATGGGACTCGTAGAGGAAGAAGGATTAGAAACCTACAGAGGATCTGGAACAGGAGAAAGAAATATTCCCGGGTGTTGGGGAAGCAAAGAGTAGAAACCGTCAGCAAAGCACCAGTAAGCCTTTCTGTCAAGAAAGCTAGGAAAGGCCAGAAGTCTCTGGTGGCCACTGACAGAACAATTTTGGTAGAAATTGGGGCAGACTCTGCTGTTCAAAGTATAACTTGGGGAAAGGGGCAAGGAATACAGGCGTAAGTTTCTAGTCCCCCTTCCATCCATGAATATTGTTCGTCATCACCATCAACACCATTACAGAAATAGATAACACTTGGAAACAGCTGTTGTAGGCAGCACTTAGCCTCAGACTCACACAATCCAAAGAAGGCTCATCAATCACAAGAAAGACTTCAAACTTGTCACTATAGCCCTGAATCCTTGGAGTGTATACATCACCTTAATGAACTTCACTTAGATAAGGGAACACTGATAGCAGTGCTGGAATAATATGCAACATTCAATATGGACCCAGAAATTAATTAAAGATGGAATGTTAGTATCATTTGTTAAACAGACTAAGTTCCAATACCTACTCAAAGTACAGCGTGAGGTCTGTGGCTAGTATCGACTGCTTCAGAAGCTGCATGAGGTCACTGTATTCCTTGGAGGACAAATTAGCAAAGATGTTGTGACCCTGTAATGAGAGGGTAGAAAGTTACAAAACACACCATTAAACCTGTAGTTGGTGACTGTATGTTTTTTCCTGTATTTTAGAAAAAGATCAGAGCATGAACAAAATTTAAAGTTTAGTAAAAGTTTTCATTTTTTTCTAGGTTCGTTTTTGTTTCTATGTGTGTGTATGTATGCATGGATGTGTGGATCCATGTAAATGTATGCAGGTGCTCACTGACACTAGAAGAGGCCATCAGATCCTCTCAAACTGGAGATACAGGTGGTTGTGAGGTACCTGACTCGGGCACTGGAAACAGTGCTACTCAGGTCTGCTGAAAGAGTAGCAAGCGCTCTTAACTGTGGGCCCTTTCTCCAGCCCAAAGCTCAATAAAAGTTTTACAGATACAAACAGACATTCTGGCAAACAGCAAAGCCAGAAAGTGAGCTGCTTGGGGCGGGGATCCACCAAGGAGCACTTTATTATCTTTTCAGTGTGGACAGGAACTCTGATAATGTGTGAACTTGTGTTATTATAGATATAGAAGTACATAGTGGAGAAGTGGATCCCCAAAGAAACACTACTTTACTAATAAAGATTTAGCTGGCATTCCAGGAACACTTGCTATGGTGACAAGTGACGTTGAGGAAGAGCAAAGGTCATTAGACTATTGTGTCTTAATGGGGGAGATTTAGACAATGGAAGCTTTGGGAGCAAATAGAGACATTTTGAATGGTCATGCATGGCTGGGACACTACTAACCTTTAATACCTTTAACGGGAGAGGTCAGAGATGTAGCTAAACAACCTTCAATGTACAGGAGATGCCACTCAAAGATCGACCTCCCTGCTGAAGTGAGGAACCCTGAACTGTCAGGCTCCTTTGATAAAGTATGTGCTGGTTTAAATTCCCAACACCAGGTAACCGCTCAACAGCTAGGATGAAGAAGCCATTGTCTGCATGCAGTGGGACTCTAATGATGACTTCTACCAAGCAAAGGCTGCAATACAACTTTACCTCCATGCTACTGGAAAACATTCTTATCCCTCTAGAAGAAGACTCACTTAGCACCTCATTGCTGGTTGTTAGTAAGGTGGGAAAACTTTCAGCAACGTGAAGGGTTTTACTTCTCATACTTGCTAAGTCAAGACCTCTTTTGTCTGCTTCTCTTAGCATGAAGTATGAACTCAAAAGCATGTGGCCTTGGAACTGGATCAATCTGAACCTAGGACTGAGAGCCAGAAGATGGTAGGGAAGGAAGGGGGCAAACGATTTCTCAAGAATAAACTATTCTCCATGAGAAGTAAATTAATTTATCCAGGGAACCAGAATATCAATTAGCAATTTTATTTTAATCGAGTGCCAGGTGATAATGTGCTTTGCTGAACTGATTTATCTCATTGGGTGAACCCTCCCTTCCTGACTAGAGGATGTTGATTCTACCTCGGACGAGGTCCAATACTAATAGTAATTTTCAAATGCACTCTTCTAGGCCTTTAATTCAGCGATTAAGAGGACAAAGAATTCAAGGAACGCTGGACCATGGCTTTGCACAGGGTTTTGTCCTTCTATTTTGCCTGAGCATCACCTCGTGGGACAGTTACAAGCAAGTATTCTGGAACCTGGGAAAAAGTAGTTTACAGCTCTTGGGAAAATGGTCACCTGGGTTCAGCAGCACATCCAGCATCACCCAGGGGAAGCAAGACAGGCTTCGGAGCAAGTCTGCGTGGAAGTGTGCGTTCAGACAAGAGAACTCCCCTGCACTCGAGGTGCCGGTTATTGTGTGACAACTTAAAGGACATGGTAAATAGTACTTTGTGCTCCTGGGGAATACAAAACCAGCCGAATCAGCTTTAGCTTATAAAAGTTAGTTTGCATCAACGCATTATTGACTATGCAAATTAGCCTTGAACAGCACTTCAAGGTTTGACCCTAAAATAGAAATATTGTGGGAGATTAGGTTTTAGGGAAACAGCCCCAGGTCTAGGGAACCAGCGAGTATGGCATGGATGGGAAACTCAGGCGCAGAGAAAGAAAGGTCCTCTGGCCTCTGTAAACTGGAAAGTGGGACAGGGGTGACATCTGCCTTCCTGGTGGCAGAATGGAGTGGGGCCTGGGGTTCATGGCCTGCTGCCATTTTCAATGGTCATTGTCCCTCAGAGGAAACTGGAGTGGAGGCTGACCGATGTGTCATGTTTAGAAGACACGAACCTAAGGAAGCTGAACCGTTTATGATCCCCATGATTGCCGAGGTGTTTTTCTGGGGTTAGAGGCAGGGACTCATCACATTTACCAGCAGAGAAAAGACAAGCTAAACAAAAGCACCCGCTGTCCCTACCTCCTCCCCAGCTCTCGGCTAACATGTGGCTTTCATATTGCAGAGTCATAGACGACAGGAAGTTGGTTCTGCCAGTTTCCAAGGCCCTTACTTAGGAGCTTTACTCCTAAATGAAAACAACAACTCGGGCAGCTGCCCTGCCCTAGCCCACATCCAGGCTCTGGAGTGGTGGGTCTCTGTTATGAGGTCGAAGGCTTTGGCGATATTACAAAAGACATGTTTCCTCAAGATAGTCTAGAGAAAAAAAAAGCCCTCCATATTTAATAATAATTAATGACATAGCCAGAGAGCTTACAAATAACAGGGGACAGATGATCCCTTTCTAGCCAAAAAAAAAAAAAAAAAAAAAAAAAGAAAAAAGAAAAAAGGTCTGTATGCCTTCAGAAAATTAAACAGATTCTTCCTGGCAAGTTAAAAACTCAGCTGTTGCAGCCAGAGTCAGTTAGTGGTTTCTGGTTTTCTCTGCAGAAAGAGACAAGTCAACACTCCAATGCCTTCTAAGTCTTAGCCCTGGCCTTGGGGTTAGTAACTGTCTCTTACTTTCGAATGCAGTCCTGCCAAAAAATTCAGTTCTTTCATCTCTTATAGGCTTCTCAACTTCACTATCAAAGCTTGACTCTTACTGTTTCTACCACCTCTTTCCATGGCGTTGGGTTTCACAAAAATGGGAAAGTTGGGCTGCTCTGTCATGACTCATTCCCCTTGGCAGCCTGCATCCTTCAAGGAAGATGAGATGATGTTCTGGCAATAAGCAACCTCCACCTGGTACTCCGTAAGTGATTCTGCAAAAGCCCCAGCAGAGCCAAGTGAACGAGCTCAGGAAGACCTGGAACAAGGTCTTTGACATGTGACAGGCTCACAAAAGGTGCCAGGGTGGGAGTTTAACTTAAACACGGCCTCCCACTTCTCTGGATTCGTCCATGGCCCAGCAGTAGTTGGCCTTCTGCCAAGGGGAGAAGCGGGGCAGGTCTCACCTCACTCTGAAGGATCATCACAGCATGGTTGAAGTGGTGATGCTCTAAGGTTGCTGACGTCCCATAGAGCTGGGCCAGTGCAGAGTCACTCCTGAAAGAGAACCGAAGGCTGAGTAGGCAGGACCCTTCACCTTGGCTGTTTCCCACACCAGCTCTTCAGGTTACACTGCTTTTGGCGGTGGAGCATGAGCAAATGTGTTCTAGGTAACTGCTGTGGGGTTTGCTCATCTCTTGAGCAAACTTTTCAAGAACTCTATGTGTTGGGCTGGGTGCTGCGGGTGATAAATGGTTAACAAGGTGCACTCCTTGTCTTTCCGAAGTTTGTGAAGTGGCAAGAGACAAGATGTGATTCCGAGCAAAAGTAAAACATGTAGCAACAGTACAGATCCCGTGTGTGTGTGTGTGTGTGTGTGTGTGTGTGTGTGTGTGTGTGTGTGTTACAACTTTTGCCTTTGTGATCCATGCAGGCTTCATGAACTAAACCTTACAAATCTTCTAAGTCTGTACAGAAACTTCCTCCTATCAGATGTGCCTGACTCTCCACCAGAAAAGACTTCGAGAATATTCCATAATCCTCCTTATCTACTCTACATACATTTTAACAACCTTCTCTTGGTGAGTGTCCCTTCACCCCCAAGGTCCACCTCCATATCTTAGTGTAGAAGATGAGAGAGTTCCTTGGACCTGAAGTCACAGCTCTTCCTTCAGTAAATAGCCTTGGGCAATTACTTGACTTTTGGGCTCAGTTTCTTCATCTGCCTCACCTGTTGTTTATGAGGCTACAACAAAATGCTTGAAAGTACCTGTGATAGTGCCAAATAGGGAGTAGATAGGAGTCTATATTAATTATTAATAGATAATTAAAACACACATGGACATTTCCATTTTAAATGAACAAAATGCTCACTGATACCTGAGGGGATTCCTTTGAGTTATCTGTAAATTTCACTTACGTAAGACAGCCCATCCCTCAACAATGCCGGTTCAGTAAAGTATTTATTTTAGAGTGTTCCAACAGTTCATCTCCAATTATTTCTTTGGAATTGGAGTTCCAGCATGTTAGGGAATCAAAGAACTGTTCTAGGCCTCCGTTGAGGATTCATCCAGGTCCTGGTGTTTTTTTGCTGGCTTACTGCAGGGAGCTTGTGGGTATTGAAAGGACAGTTTGGCTTTAACTTGCAATGATGGAGATTGACATCTTGTAGACTGTCCTGCCATTGAAAGAATAAAAGGCTGCACCTGTACACAAGAAGGATTTTCATCCCAAGCTGCCTTGCACCTCTAGTGTGAGGCAACCCAAGGCCATCATCAGTTTCAGGGGTACCGAGGACCTATGATCCTTAGAGAGACTCAGAACTACTGTATACTGAGGTAGTAGCAAGGTTAGGTTGAGGAGAGCTTGTCATCAATGTTCCCTAATGAAGGAGGGAACTAGATTTTAGTCAGGTATGGGTTATTTCCTTAAGTCTCCCCAAGTTTACTACATCATCTAATAAGTGGACAGAGTTCAGGCTAATCTTACTGGTGGGTTAACATTTAAGGTCAGTTGCCATTTGTCTTATAGAGAATGGATTTCTGTGACAGATGCACACAGCATGACTTTGACTTGGATGTTGAGCTTCTGTGTGCTTGGCACAGAGTAGGCGCTTAAAAATTACTTGCCCATGGTGCTGTGTGGAGAGATTATGGCTAAATTAGGAGGCTGACTGTAATATATATATCAGCACATTTTATAATATTTATATATTATACTATATATAATTTTATCACATGTATTTATATTATATTTATATATAATATATTTTATATATTTAAAATATGTGTGCCAGATATTTAAAAATATATGTGTAATATATTTTATAATGATTATATTACTGCTAATAATAGCCACCATCAGTAAGCGCCTACCACGTACTGGGGACCACACTAACCACTTGATGCATAGCTCCATTGAGTCGTGATAACAACTACAAAACAGGTACTATTTTCTCACTTTACACCAAAAGAAACAGAGACTCAGAGAAGGTATGCAGATTTTATAAGGTCACACAGCCAGCTAGTACCAGGTCTAGGTTCGAATCTTAATTTGTAAGCTTCTCATTACAGTGGGAGAATAAAAAGTGTAACACGTATTTCTGATATTTGAGTCTCCATTTTTACAGAACTGCTGGCCACCAATGAAAGGAGCTCTCAAAACACAATTCAGAATTCTGCTAGCACAGCTGTTAACCCAGGCTCTGATCCCCTTTCATGCCCGTAAACCAGCTTGTTCTGGTTCTCTCTGCTCACGAGTCCTGAGAATAGAGTTGCTGGTTGGAGGAGGAACATCTAATCTCTCTTTATTCCTGTTGGTTTTCATCCCACAGAGGTAAGCTAGCTAGATGTTCACAGGTCACTTAGCATGTTCTTCCTTCAGGATGGATAAGGGAATCTTCCTTCCGCAGGCAGAGGACCCTGTGGTGGGCACTCTGGTGATTGCTTTACTGTACATTTCTCCTCCCCTTGTTCACGTGTTCAGAATTGCTGGGCTCCAGCAGGAGGGGCAGCGTCTTATGATTAGATTCTCTATTTGTCTCTTTCTGTAATTCCATCTTTCATTCATTCAGTGCAGAATTCAAGTACAGAAAATATGTAAATTTTGGAATTGAACCACACTCATTGGTTTCAGTGCAGGGAGACACTGGAGTTCATTCATTCACTCACATATGCATGGGTACATGCACCTATCATTAATGTAGCCAACAAGCATTGATGACTATTTATTTTGTCAGGTCCCAGGCACGTGAAATACAGATGTGTAGTTCATGGATTCTACCTTCAGGTAACTCACACTCGCCCAGACTTCTGTAGAACGCTTTCTCCAACCACTCCTGTACTAAAACTATCAGCTTCTTGGAGGTAAGGAGCCGTCTTAGTCAGCATCCAGAGATGGAGCTGGTACTAACTTCAGTAAAGTCACTGAAGACATACTTCCGTTTCACACAGACCCCTGATTTGTACTATTGTATGTGGTTCCTACCAGTATTTCTAAGACTTTCAAACCTTGCAGCGCCAAGCTCACCAGGATTTCTGTCTGCCATGTTCTTATGTACTCACACACTGTGGATGTCCTAGGAACACCCAGAGCAAAAGCCAGTTTAAACAAAACAGAAAATAAACATGGTGGCAGAAGATAAACCTATATGTCAGGACAAAGTTTGTCAATGAACACTCTACAGACTATTACTAACTTGAAATGCCAAAAGATACGGCAAGTTGAAGTAAAGAGGGTTCCAAAGTCAAATAACTTTAAAAGTTCAAACTACTTATTGTAGGATTTCTTAGTGGCATTGATATGTAAACACATGCCCTGGGATGCCACTGGGAGGGGCATGATATGCAGCCTTATGTAGTCTTAACTAATCAAAAAGCCATTTCTAAAGCGCTCACGTCTTTGATGTGAAACACTGTACGGATATATAATCCCACTTTTTAAATGAAAAAACCTTCCATCAGTCATATGAGAAGATAGCCTTTAACACTGCATCTCATTTTGATTGTATATGGTAAATATATCCATCATATGAGTGACTTTGGGCACATACCCTGTAGCTGTGGAAATATGATCATATATATTTATATGCATATGTGTGTATATACAGGGTGTATGGGAAGAGAGGGAGAGGAAGCATGGAATTCATAAATGTGAATATTCCTGATGTGTATTATTGCTTGGATCAACCCAAATGCTAAAGTCTTTGATTTTTAGACTGGCAGTACATAGAGCAGAAATGTACTAAAATGTAAAAGGGACAATTCTGTTTCTACAGATATCATTGCTTCGTGCAGACACCCAAAATCCATGCATACCAAAGTACACTTTCCTCACATCCTGGATATGCATATTCTTTGAGAAAAAGAGCTAATGGCAGTGTGCAGCCGTGGCTTCGAGGAAACTTTAAAAAGGCAAACTATGAAAGGTAATTAGGAAGCTGGGAATTGCTGGGAGGTGGTGAGGAATGGGATTAGGCTGTCAGGGCAGATTAATGTGCCCCAGTATTTCACTTCTGGGACCTGGCCGAAAGCGACAAGATGGGTTTTCATTCCCAAGAAATGAGTATAAGAGATTATGCTAGAAATGAATAGAAGGAATCTCCTAGGAGAATAGACTACAAAGCTGTGCCGTACTGATATTTAATCATCAGGGGCAGCTGTAATAGAGAGGGGGATGAGTGGGCAATGCTGTCCCTAGAGAACAGAGAGAAGAGCAATTTCAGAGCACTGTGGTATTGGTGGCTTCTCTACCTATTGATCATTCACTGCACGCGCTCCAATACTTAAAAATTAAGGCTAAAATATGAAAATGCAAAGGTTCACTTATCAGAAAGGCTAAGAATATAAATCAAATTGTGCTCTAAAGTCACACTTTTTTTTATTGTAGAGGCATTTTGCATTTTATATATTAATTTGTCCCTCGCTAAAAAGTCTCCTTTTTTTTATAGCCTATGTATGACAAAAGGTAGCCTACGCTTCGCCACATAATAACTATGGCATAGGAGTTTTGCTGGCAAATCATCTGAAAGGCTGGATTAGACCATGCAAAGCTTAAGAAAAGGGTTTGTTTGCTGCCCTTCCTCCTTCTCCCAGAATGCCTAGCACAAGGCCTTGAACTCAGAAAACACTCCGCTGTTGAAGAATGAAGGAGAAGAAAAGGTTCCAGGTTTCTTCCTAGGGATTTTAAACAATGGTACACTCGCTGGGTAAATCTTAGTCTAATCACTGAACAACTGTGTTAAAAGTCTCTCTGACACTCACTGTCAAATGGAATCTTAACTGAGGTCAAGCTGGCATTATGTGGTGTGAGTGAATACAAACGTGACTTCACTGGGTAGTGGCAGGGCTGATGGGCACCTCTAAGCAGGGAAACTGGTGCGAGATGACTTGGTTAGAGCAAACCCTCTGCCATGTTAGAGCATGGAGAGCTGATAGTGAGGCTGGAGGAGACAGAGAAGTCTGGACTTAGTACTTACCCTTATTATTTACCTAAAGTTGAGGAGACAGAGAAGTCTGGACTTATTGTTTACCTTATTACTTACCTAAAGTTGAGGATTCAGAGAAGTCTGGACCTATTACTTACCTAAAGTTGTTCAGCCCCAAACAACGGACCTAAGATTTAGGGAAATTCATTTCCATTTTTGCAAGATTAAGACATTGAAAGATATGACAGCCAAGGTTCAGCTCAGTTCTACAAGCTCTACATTCGGAGTTTCGGAGTTGCTGGCTGTCAGAATATATTTTAGTTTTCTAAGGCTTATCTAGCAAGATGGCCAACAAACTGAAAGACCAATGCCAATGTCCAAGACAGATGTCACCAAACCAAGGACAACATTGTTGCAGTACTTCAAGAATGTTTTTTTTTTTTTTTTTTTTTTTTTTTTTTTTTCGAGACAGGGTTTCTCTGTGTAGTGTTGCGCCTTTCCTGGAACTCACTTGGTAGTCCAGGCTGGCCTCGAACTCACAAAGATCCGCCTGGCTCTGCCTCCCGAGTGCTGGGATTAAAGGCGTGCGCCACCACTGCCCGGCCAAGATGTTTTTTGCCGTCAGAGATCCCAGGTCCAATTGTCATTACACTTCACTTTGGTGGATAAATTTGGACAAGCTGTAAAATGGAGACAAAACTATCTGCAGAACATAGGGCGAGGGCTTGGTAGAGTTAAAAGACAAATGATCATTTTCCTTGTCTTGGGGACTGGTGTTTGTAAGAAACAAAAACGAAGAAAATGAGCTTCATCAGGAAAAGTCCTGATTAAATGACATGGGGGCCCTGACTGGGTCATGAGAAAGGCTGAGTGCCCCGGAAGTAGGAAAAGTAACGGGGAGAGACTGGCTCGATGTCTAATTTTTTCCACTTTTCTGCATTTACATTCTCCTTTTGCCTTCTCTCTGACTGTTACCTTCCTCCTCCACTCCTTTCTGGAGACTGGCCTTCCTGTTTCTCTCATCCGCTTGGTATGTAGTCATCATAGCTTCTCCCACCAGCGGTCCCGAGTCTACAAGGAGCTTCAGCTCAGCTCACGACAGCTAACTGATGCAAGGTCACGGGCATGCACAGCAATATCTTATTGGTCCAGCTCTGATTAGGGGTGGACTCTTGGTCTAGCCCGCTGAGGGGCTGATGTTGAGAAGAGCTTCCCTATTCAGTGTGATGCACAGACTGGCTGGGAAGGTTAGTGGTATTCTGGTACATTGGGTACATTGTGCCATTGGGCACTGTCACTCTTCAAAAGAACACAGGGAGTTCACTCCTGGTTTACAGACACAGTTCTAACCATTAGCTCTTCCTTTTGCATCATTGGTAATATGGTAGGGGGTTGGGGAGAGGGTCCCAGGGGGAAATACACTGACAGTATACATTGGTATGGAAAAGAGGAATCTTGAAAAAAAATAAGGACATGCAAACAAACTTTAAATTAGGAACTGTCAAAAGGAGCACATGGCATGCCCATGAACAGGTTTCAGGCTTTTACCACAGCATTAAACCTGTACATCTTAAGGCTATGTACCATCATCTGCATCTGTGAAAGGCTACATTCATTAAAAACAAATCAAGAGAGCTGGAGAGATGGCTCAGAGGTTAAGAGCACTGACTGCTCTTCCAGAGGTCCTGAGTTCAATTCCCAGCAACCACATGATGGCTCACAACCATCTGTGATAGGATCTGGTGCCCTCTTCTGGCCTGCATTCATACATGCTATATACATAATAAATAAATAAATCTTTTAAAAAAATCAAGAAACTTTATTGAGAAGATAGATTAAAATACAATCCATCCAGTCACTCACTATCCATTAATTCAGCCAACATTTCCTGTGTGTTGATTATGTTCCTGGCGTTGCTGGGTCACAAGTCTTAAAGAAGAGGGGACACATCTGAAAGTCAGTAATTGAAATGGAGGCAGGTGAAAAGACATTGCCAGGGTGTTATGAACTCGAGAGAGGATGATGAGGGGAGTGAGCATCGGGGTAGAACCCTGGAAGTGATGTGTTCAGAGGAGCTGTGGAGAAAGGGGCAGAAGGGCATTTTCTGGAGTGGGAAATAGCACAAGAGACCCCAGAAAGAGGTGAGCTAGCAGGGCTCCACTGAGAGCAAGGCTCTTCTGTATGGGATGAATGGATGGACAAGTCTGTACTGAGCCAGAGAAATGAATGGTTGGGCAAGTCGGTGCTAAGCCAGAGAAGTGAGCTAGAGTCTGATTTAAAGGAGCCTTACAGGGTTAAAGACTGAATATCTAGAACTTGCAGGAGGCCCGAGGATGAAGCAGGAGAGTGACTTGAACACCTCTGTGTACGAGAAAGGATTTTTCCAGAGGGCCAATTAGGCAGGAGGGGAGCTGGGCCTTCTGTGGAAGTATCAGGAGTTGATCCAAGAGTGCAGAGGAGGGGTTGGCTCTGCTTGGGTGCTGCTGAGGCTGCCAAGTAACTTGTGTATTCATGGGGATAATGACAGAAAGAGGACCGAATGAAGGAGGAGACGGAGAGGACTCTGGGACTTCAAGTAGGAGGCGCTTCCAGCAGCTGGGAGGAGTATCTGTAGATAAGCGCTTGTGAATCCTGGCCCTGAGAAATGCAGCTAGAGCTCAGGATGTGTGGAGGCTTGGCAGAAGAGGAAGGGGCCACACAAGGAAAGAGGCCTTGAGGCAAACTAATGAGGAAGGCTACATCGGTAGATAAATATCTTTTGGGAGGAAAAGATGAAGAGACGTTCAGGAAGGAGGCAGTAAGAAAATACGATCCATGGAAAGCAGGGCCAAGAACAGAGGGCATGAAAAAGGGCACAACAGCTTTGGAAAGGGGGTCACTGAGGGAGGCTCTTCTAGTGAGAGGGGATTGAAATCCCTGTGCAGAGGCAGGGGTTGGAGGAAGCGAAGACAACCAACACAGACGCTTTTCCAAGAAGCTTGCCTAGGAAGGAAAGAAGGAAACAGATCAGTCACTAAAAAGACAAGCGGGGGTGCAGGTGGGTGTTTCAGGATGGGGCAGAATTGTTCACGTTAATTAGGTGCAGAACACCCATAGACAGGGAGACAGAGATACAGGAGTGGGGGTGGGTAGATTGATAGAGCAAGGTCCCGGAGGAGAGAGGCAGGAAAGCTCCAGAGCAGAGGTGGAGGGATTAGCCTCAGCCATGGGAAAGACAGCATTTTCATTGAGATAGGAGGGAAAGAGGAAAGGATGGGGCGGGATAGATAAGTGTGTAGGTGGCAGGGGAGGAAATTGAGGGAGTTCTCGATTGATGGCCTCAATTTTCTCAGGGAAGTAGGAGGCAAGGTGATCCGTAGAGCGGTGTGGGGAGGCAGTGGAGCTTAGGAAAACAGAACACGAGTGGTACATAACTGCTCGGAGCAATGCAGCCTGAGCTGGTGGAGTATGCAGAAAGACCGACATGGAGTCCTGAGCATGCAGCCGAGTTGAGAGGGTGTCTGTCTGCTGTGTCTCCAGTTTGCACAACTGTGATATTTTCTCCCGGGGCTGTGCCAAGTCTAGGCAGGGTAGCAAGAAACTGAATTGTAAGACTGAAGCAAGGCTGCATTTTTACAGACTGGATGTGACAGAAGTATAAGAGGGTCAAGGGATTCTGGGTATTGAGGAGAGACACTTCAAGTGGGGAGCTAGAGGATGAAGGATGGAGGGAAGGGCACAGGGTCAAAACGGTTTGCTAGACCAGATCAAGACGTCAGGGTCTGGCTCCGGGGATGGAAAGCAGCGACAAGCTGAGAGAACCAGTGGACACACAATGGGCTGTCCGAGTTTCAGCGAGCAGAGCTCTACCTGTTCTGAGAACTGTGAAATCTGTCCCACTTCTCTATAGAAGCTCTCCTTCCTGTTCCCCTCCCATCCAAAACATCTCTCCAGGGCCTCTGACCATCTTAGCAGACAGCTAGTTCAAAGAACATTAAAACTTGACCTCACTGCGAGAGTCCTGACACCTGGAATTTAACATGCGTAAGTTCTGTGGCCCTTGTCACAATGTGAGCCACCAAGCAGTAGCTTTCTTGACCAGTACAACTTATTTGGGAACAGATTGGTCTATCCACGTGACTTACGCGCAGGGCAGACAGTGGCTTACCCATCCCTATGTTTATGCGACTCCTTTGTCTGTTTCCCGTCTTTCATTGGGAATAGGGATGGGAAGAGCAAAACACTCTTTGGTTCATTAATCTTCCTGAGCCTGTTTTTATTCTAATCACCTCAAAACCAGATTTGAGAGTAGCAGGTCCAAGCAGCCTGTCATGCCACAGAGGCAAATAGGCTGAGAGGAAAAGAATAGGACTTTGCAACCCGAGCTGTGCTCTCTGACTGAGGTCAGCAGAGGCAGGGCAAATCAACAAGCATGACGTGAAGGGCGAATTTGCAATTAAAAGAAGAATAGGGAATTATAAAGATGGATGGGTCCTATGACATGCATGCCCAAGCCTGCGTGGCCTTGGCCTCTGATGCCAGAAATTAATGCTTTACTCTTTAGCACTCGTCACCTTTGGCTCTGAACAGAAAGGCAAATGCATTAAAATCACGACAATTAGAACACTTACTTAGCTTGGAAGGCGTTGTTGGTTCCTCTGTGGTCGAGGTCATGACACAGGCATCCCACAATCACCGCTAAAATCTCCACCTCGGTCAGAATCTCTTGAAACCCAGCAGTCTGGGAAGAAGGGGGCAATGGCAAGTCAGTGCCAGGGGCAGGGAGACTGGGGAAACTCAGTCAGCTGAGCAGCCATCAGCTGGTTTCAGGCCCACACCATTTAAGGAAATGATTAACCGTCACCCTCTTCGATGACAGAACATTGAGCGGTCATTTGCTTAGTCTAAGGTCCCCATAGTGAGGGATTCACTTGCTGTCACGTCAAGACAAAGCTCCGTCAGCTTCATTCCTTTCTGTCGAGAGGAGGTTGTGTTCTCCACCCCGACGGTTTGGGAAAGACCCAGGGTAAAGTGTGCTTTGCTATTGCACACAGTACGATAAGCATTGCACTTGGAAGTAGGGGGAGATGAAGGGACCCTCAAAACTGGAAAACTCTGGCCCCTGGCTGCCACTCAAACGAGATTCAGCAAACACAACCAAACCTTCCTTTATAGTAAGTGGAGGAACAGAGAAATACTCAGATTGGTGCATAATGACGTTCTAGAATTATCTTACAAATCTCTTAATCTGTATTGAGTCAGCAGACAGATTTGAAAGCATACAGGTAAATCCTAGAAACTGGAGGTTGGCAGAGGAATCGACAGCCAGGACTTCAAGTCAAGAGAAGAGTACATGATTTCCAGGTCTTTGTTTCTGACCCCAGGAGCTGTGTGAAGTGTGTGGCTGGGGTGTACTTTCTCCTGGAGGCGGTTGGATATCATTATGGGCGCGAGAACAGCAACGGTTCTCTGGTTCCAGCTGGCCCTTTCACTAGTTTGGAGGAGGAAACGCACCTTCGGGAGAAAGATCTGTGCACCCTCTCCATCCGAGGCCTTATGCCCCTCCCCCATCACAGTCTAAGTCTCCGGTTCCATTACTTATTAAATTCTTTATCAGAGGGTAGGAGGAGGGGAGTCGGCTTGAAATTACTTTTCAGGTATGTTTCTCCTCCACGGATCTCGGATTACCGGCTAATACCTGTAAGACTCTTTTGGGGCAATGAAAACTTTGTTCTTTAATTAGTTGTGGTTTTAATAGAGAAAGAACTGAGTGATGGATTCCTGGATTGACAATTTTATTTCTCAGAACTGATTTGGCTCCTTGGCTAGATTTGGAAACACATACGACATCACTTACACAACACATGGGGATGTTAATAAATTGTCTGGGCTGTGGAGTACTCCTTGTGAAAGCTTGTGGGCACCCTTCATTTTAAAACCTGTTGGATAGTAGTTTTTGTTTATTTTATTACCGGCAATAGTTTTCTGAAACCATACTAAGAAACCTAAAGCCAAAACTCTGTAGTTCCCTCATTGTTCATATTTCCTGATTCCCAAAGACAACCAAATTCATTTGTTAACTAAGTTGGTGACATTTTTACCATATTGCTGCACAATATACATACGTTTTCGCACTTGATAATTCACCAAATACTTACACAGTTTTGTTACTATATGTTACTATGTTACTATAAATTCCCCTAAGTGTTTTCAACTGCTCAACCTACTTAGTATTTTTACTAGTCTTCTGAGGTAATAGCTATTATTATCCCCAGTTACAGATGGGGAAATTGAGTCACAAAGAGGCTCCATCCTGTGCCTAAAGGCTCACAATTAATGCAGGGAAGAGGGGTGCACACTCCTACATCCCTCCCCCCCAAGTGTGCCTTGAAACATTGATGGTGTAGTGGCAGATGAGAGGTGATGGTCCCCAACACTTCCCCTCCATTCCCAACGTAACCCATGCCCAGAACTTTCCTCATGATCACCCTAGAAATGCTACCCACTGCCCAGCCAACAAGTACACAATGACTGTTTTCTTAAATACTTGGATTTCCTGGAGTTTAGATTTCTTTGAAACAGCTAAGCGTTTCCATATCCTACATGACTTTATGAAATGTCTGTTAATTTTGAAGAGAATCAAACATCTCACATTTCCTATATGATCGTTTTGTGTGCTGGAGGTAGCCAGGCCTGGCTTGTCCCCTCTCGGGGCTTCTGCTTTTCCCTCCTGGGATGGCCTCTTATGTCAGCATCCTTTGCCTTTCCTCGATTTCTGCCCCACTTTGCAGGAACACATCTGTCAGCCTTCATGAGAAAGTGTGTCCATTTCTCAGGGAGCCAGTTGTTCTAAGGCACTGCCTGACAGGGATGGGGGTGGGGGGGCTTTATTCTGCTTTCACATTCAGCTGTTAGTTTGTCTAACAATCCCGGGGGGGGGGGGGATAATTTCTCTCAGAATTCTAAAGGACTAGCTACCTTATGGTCTAGTTTGTAAAGTTGCTTTTGGGAAGAGTATGCCATCCTTATTCCTAATATTTTCTGTGTTCGTTTGCTTCCGAATCTCCTTTTCATTCACGGTGTTCGGTAATTTCAGAAAGATATGATTAGTTCAGGATTTTCTTCTCATTCTGTTTACATTGTAAATCTAATCTGCAGGTTCTTTTTCTCCAGCACAGGGCTCCTCACATCTTCTTGTTGTTTCTCTTCATTCTATTTTTATTGTGTTTATCTGTTTATTTATTTGAATTTTACATGCGTGTACATGTATGGGTGTGCCGTGGGTGAACATGGCGGTCGCTCTCAGGAGTCTGTTCTCTTTTCCTGCCATGTGGACACAGTGGACTGAACTCAAGTTTTCAGGCTTGGCCACAAATGCCCTTCCTTGCTGAGCCGTCTCTCTGGCCCTTCAGTATTTTTTCCTATCCTGTATGAGTGGAACTCCAATAGGCTGAGCATCAGTTCTGTTATTTTTTGAGATCTCTTTTCTTCCATTTCCTGTATAGACTATTCTTTCTTTCTAGGAGTTTTAAATTATTAGCCAAGCATTTTTTTTCCTGCTCCTTTTATAATCCCACCTGTTCTTCTCCCACAGATGTCTTAACTCTTTTCCTACCCTGCTGAAGAAATTAATAGCATTTCTGATGTTTTCTTCCGCTCCTTTGAATTTCCTGCATCCTCTGAGCCCTTTCTTTCTTTGTGTTCTCTCAAATGTCTTTTGATGACTGTGCACACGTGGAAATGCAGGGATCTGAGGCTCACCCTGAACCAGGGTGAGTGTGAGGTGCCTGCAGGTTGCTAGGCCTTACCATAGGGTCACCAAATGTCTGGCTGATCTTTCGCTGGAGCTCCCCAAACACTAGATCTAAACCCACGTCTCTGGACTCTCCCGTCTGTTGCCTAGAACAACAATGGAAACATGGAACAAAAAGGAGCTGAGGGTTCACACCCAGGAGGCTGCAGGCTTTCCGGATTCTCTACCCTCTGCATCTCTTGTCTTCTTGCTGGCATCCTCAACGATGGTGCTTTTTTTCCTCCTGCAAATACTCTGGTTCCTGAACAGGTTGCAGTAAGAGCAAATCTTCAACTGTGTAGAGGGGGACTCATCATTTCATCATCATCCCACCACTGTATCCTATTCTGTGACCTCTGAAGTCTCTAGTTCCCAAGCCTTGGCAGGTCTGGGAAAACGGTTCTCATGTACGTCCCTTCTCCCGCCACCTCTGCCCTGAAGGCAGAGGGCTGGACCTTGTTCTTTATTGATGAGTCATAAACTATCCTTCTCTCTCTACTTTCTACTTCTGTCGCTGGGAGTTTTCACACAGTCACCTTTGATTTTCCCCTTCTCTTGAAATTCGGTACCTGGCTCTAAAATTATTTATATCACGGATACTTTTGAGAATTTAATGAGATACGTGAACTCTCTTTCTATAAAATCTTATGATTTCATATGACTCCAAGGCTCTGCAGCTCGTCACTGGACCCTTAGAATAAAGAATCCCCGAGGTTCGGCATCCACGCGGCTGCATGAGGTGTATTTACCTCTCCGACTGTGGTACCTGAGTTAGTGAAGCGACACCTAGCTCTTGACTGTGATTTAAAGCTGCCTGGTAAATGGTTTCTGAGAATCATCAGGCCTGAAAAGTGTCCACCTGCCACTAAGTTTCTATTTGCTCCTCCCCACCCTCATCCATCTTCCTTCCCTCGCATCCATTCAGACCTACATTTACCCATATTGAGGAGAAAGAGTCAGCTGCCTGCTGAAGATAATATACTTTCAAAAAGAAAACAGGGAGGCAGGGGAAGCATGTCTTGATGTATTTATTTCTCAACTCTCGCTTATTATTTTATTTTCAAATAAAATTATGTCCCTCCTCAATAATTATGACTTCTCTTGACTTTTGTGTTAATATGTCTTCTTACTTGCACTCTCTCACGGTGTGTATCAGAAATACAAGCAATAAATACAATATGTCTAAGTGAAGAGACAATCAGATGCATATATCTAATCCTCAAGTCACCTGTTAAGGAAGGCCGTGTTATTACCCTTTGACCCGGCCTCCAGTGGCAGCCTTTTGAGGGGCTGACATGTTTTCTGGGACAATTCTTTCCCTACCTCCTACAGCATACAACACTGAGGACTTTGACGTACCCAAATCAGTAAGATTCCTTCTCAGGTTCCGCTAGGCCACCAATGAGCTTCTGTTGGTAGCAACGGAAGGATCTAAGGCCATTAGGGTGTGTCTCCATTGTGAAGCTGAGTCTGTGTTGCTGTAAATGCAGGACTATCACAAAGAAAGTGGCTGTCACAGTGGGTCTGTTGAATCGGAACAGTTGCAAAATACAACAGATGTAGTATCAGCCCTAGGTGCTGCTGTAGAGGAGTTTTTCATTGAACGTCTACTACTAGGTACTTGCTATGTAGCAAGCAATTGGTATGTTTGAGAAAATAGGCTTGGGGAAATACTAACAATGATTAATGCGGTCATAGTGCTCAGTGTATGCCAAGCACTCTTCTAAATATGCCAGTTTCGTGAACCCTTACGAGAATCCTCTAGGTAGATACTATTCTTATCTTCCTAACGGAAGTGCCAGGTAACATATCTGAAGTAGCAGAGGTGGGATTAGAACCCAGACAACCTGGCTCGTGAACCACCTCTACTGTGAGAGGACAGGGACAGATGTGCAGGTTTTAAGTGCCGTGGACAGGTAGTAGGGCTCTACAGAATCACTTGACATGTG